ATTGAAGTGTGTTTAGCCAAATCACTTTGCACAATTACAGAGTAAATCATTCAGGCCGTAAGTTGAAGGAGTCGTATATTGAGCCCGATCTTTGCCGTCAAATAAAAGGCAAACCAAAAAAAAAAGCTTTCGGCCGACAAAGTGCAGAGTTGCGTGTTTATTATTCCACATAATCAATTTTACTGGCCCTTTTTTGTTCCAGTGGGCTTCCCCTGTTTAGAGAGGCTTGTAAACAGTGTGTCCGGATGTGGCACAAACCAAACAAGCGAACTAACGTGCGCCCTCTCACACACACACACACGCGCACACACACACACATACACTTTGCACTGTTTAGACTGTGGAAATGAGTCATCTGCCAGCGCCGGGATCATTTGAACAGGACGACAGAGAGACGCCCCCGTGAGTCTGCGAGGCTCCACGAGACCACATGATAGCTTCCAATACCACACGAAACACCTAGAGGGATTCATTGTGAAGAGCTGTTTTGTATTATCTGTGCCGAGCTGGGAACCGGGTCAGTGTAAAAGGGGGAAATGAGATCTGAAGAAATCGGTGCCGGTGTGGTTATGACGGAGAAAACCTCTCTATCATTTCAATCAGCACATCGGCTGATCTGCCCGCGTCTTGTTCTTCTGTAAACAGTAAACGCACTAGATTTACATTCTAAAATGATATGAATCTAAATTCTAAAACAAGGAAGTGCTGTTTATTTGTGAGCCATTGTCGCAGCTGAAGGCCTCAGTAGTAACTTTTGAAAAAGTTGCACAAAAAAAGAAATGAAACGTATCCATACAGGTATATAGATGATATTTGACCTGTGCTTTTAACCCATCCTGAGCATTTCGGAGCAGTCGGCTGCTGTGCAGCTCCAGAGGAGTTCAGTGTCATTCGGACAGGAAGAGCCGGGGATCGAACCGCCGCTGACCCACAGTGACCCCAATTACGCATTAGGCGCATTTTTATCAACTGGTTTGGATAAATAAACTACAGGCTGCGTCGTCTCATCAGACGTTGGTGGTAAATTGTTTGGATGGTTGGTGGTAGAAGTGAAATAAAAGTTTAGTACTATCTGTTTGTAATTTGAGCAAATACCAAACTACTCATAGCTGACAGGCAGCAGATTATCCGGCATGAGAAGGAGATGTGGAGCCGCAGCTCGGCAATAAAACATGAAGACGGGACATGAAGCGCCGTCAGAGCGACGTGACGAGGAGCTCCATCAGACGCAGTCAGGAGGGCTTTATACATAGAGCTGCTGTACATTGTTCTGCTGTGACTAACACAGTCCAGCAGATCATCTTAATGTGAACGTAAATCTGTCGAGCCGTGATGAAAGCCATGTCCACTTCAGACACGATAACGGAGAAAGTTCAGAGGAGGAGGAGGAGGAGGGAGCATCCACAAGAGACTCAAGAGAGCAATGTCGTTTCAATGTCGTCGTGTCAAAGTGCATCTCTGTGGTCTCACAGTAATCGTGTTTCAATTAGCGAGGAGCTCGACTAGTTACCTTGTACAATCTTGAAAGGGTTACTGAATCAAACGTTAGAAAGATATAATAAAGAAACAACCGTTTTCAAACACTAAATCTCCCTAAAGAGCAGCTGAAGAGGTCACCAGAGGCTTTTATTAATTCCACTGTGCTGAGCTTGGCTGTTTACCTCCCCGGCAATATAACACTTGCCCACTAGAGGGTGATGTCTGAGGTTAACATAGTTCAGCTTTAGTGGGTCTGACCTTCTCTCCTGCTGCAGGGAAGCCACGATGGAATCGAATGATGCACTTTGAATTGAGATACTTGTACTGTGATTCAGTCTGTACTTCACTTTGTTGCAAACGCTGCTTTCTATACCTTCTAACATCATCAGACCGTCAAAAAGTGACTAAACTTGTGAGGGTATCTAGTGCAGAAACATTTCTGCAACACAAACTTCTTTACCTTTCCACAAATGTTTCCAGTCAAACACTGGAGGGAACGACCTTTTGGGTAAACTAGAAAAAGGAGCAACGTTTTTTGGCTGGTCATGAGAGGATTGTGTGCAGGAAGTGAGAAAAATAAATCCAATTAAACAAACGTTTTATGTTTCAACCTTTACTAATCTTTGCTTCTTCCTTGAGAAATACGTAATAGTTCCAACTGTGATGTTTGAGGTCAAACCACTCACTGAACTTCTCACAGCTGACAGACGTGCAGCCTGCAATGAAGGGTCCAAAGGAGAAACGGGTCAAATTAAAAAAAGAAAGGTTGAGAGACAGTGATCTTTAGGAAGCAAACAACACCTGAACATTGTTTATTTAATTATGTATTTTTTTATATTTAATCATGCTAATAGAAATGTTATATTTCATAGTTTAAATGTTAATTATATTCTGGATGTAAATATGTATCAATGACACACAGACAGGTTCCATGTTAAAGGAATAACCTGAATAAATGAGCGGAGAAACAAACCTAACGGAGTCACTGACTGATCTCCACCAAAGCGCCAAATGTTATCGTTTCCATTCATTTTGCAACCATTTGTTTGTCTTTCAGCGGAAGAATACATTCAATCAATGGACAATTACCTTCATTTAGATTTCTCTAATCAGATCTTCAGAAATTTTAGTTGTTTTTTTGTTTTACAGCAAACAAATATGAATGTATTTTGCCGGAAGAAGTCCGCGTAAACACACGATGGTTCTTTGAGACACATTCCTGTTTCTTTCTCTCCAGGTTTTTAAAATCCTCGCTCTCATTAAAGGATCACGCCGCTCAGCCTGGATCCCCTCGGTCAGTGCACATGATGTAAAGCGCAGACTTTCTTAATAATTAGTGTGCTCAGCGGAGGCTTAAAGGGGATTTCAGGCGACCCGAGTGAAACAGACTTTATTAGATCTGGTATACGAGCGTGCATCGCTTTCCCTGATCAGCCGGAATTAAGAGCCGATTATGCAACACATCTGTCGTCAAGAAGTTGGTTTCTGGGGCTCGGCACAACAACGGACTTGACAAACGAAAACTTCCCGAATGACATCAAGATTTCCATCCGTTATTGTGCACACACACAGAGAGCCATCCTCCCCTCTGCCTTTCTCCACAGATGAAGAATTGATTCGGTCTCACTCTGATCTATAAGCAGGCTGGCATTGTGCTGAAGGCAGGATGTGAAACCCGCTTCTTGTGCGTGCGTGCATCTAGAATCATGCTTCTCTGCAGCTGTGCAAAGTGTGGGGGGGGGGGGGGGGTTGTGCGTGACCCGAGCGTGTCGCAGCCGTCGCAATATCGTCCCATTATTATTTTTCAGGAAGCGGTGCGTCGGAGCGTTCGCTCCCCCAGCAGCTCATTGTTACCTGAGCGGCAGAAGGAAACAACTGCAGTTCCTACGTGGTGTGTTTTCGTGCCTCTTCGGCTTTTGTTCCTTTCAATGAGAGCAAAGAAGGAAAAAACAGATATCAAGTTGTGGGTGTGTGTGTGTGTGTGTGTGTTTGTGTGGATCTAAGCAATGTGTGGTAGTAGGGGGGCTTGGTGAGGGTAGATCCTCAGTAGTCACACACACACACACACACACACACACACACAGTAACACACTCTCAAACCTCTATTTACAACTTTGTTTCATAAATAAGCACTGCTGGTATATTCTGATGCTTTTCTTGATAAGCTCTGGCACCTTATTTACATTTAAAATTCTATTTTGTTTTCATTGTGAATTAGAAGTTTGTCGAAGGGCCACCCGTCAGGAGATTTGACCCACAGCTCTGAAGCCCTTGTAGCTGTATCCGCATCACATTCCACCTCGGTTTGGATTTCATTTCTACTTTATTTCCAGATTGAACGAGCCGACAGAAACAAACGAAGCGTTAAACGCGTTCTGAACCTGGCGTACTTGTGAGGGCCTGTGTTTGTTTAGTGATTTGGGGTTTGGAGACTGAGGGGAAGTGAGCGGAGTCAAACAGGGTTGGGGAGGTTGTCGTCTCCCTCCGGGGCGTGAGGAGGGTTTCTCAGAAGCCGCTGCCAGTCACGTCTGGCCCTTTTTGCGGACGGTAAATCACGCTCCTCGCCGGAGTGCTTCCGCACAGCAGCTCCGGCTCCCTCCTCAGCTGGAAATGCAATACGCCACGAACCCCGGGCGCTGGGGACCACCCAGGAGGCACACGGGGTCACGCGCAGGAAAACAAATGTGCGTGTGCTCGCACAATCCCACACCCACACACACACACACACACACACACACACACACACTGTATATAAGCCAATACGCTGGTCCTCGGGATGCGAGGTGGATAGGTTTGTGGCGTCAGTGGTGAGGGGGGGGGGCAAAGGAATTTCACAAGTGGTGGTTTCAGTGGTTTCTCTCACTGGGGTCTGAATACCACAGTAACTCACAACTTCCTCTCTGGCGAATATCAAAAGGAGGGTTGACCCTCCCGTGTTCAAAGAGGGCTGCAGGCACGTCAGAAAACATCTCAGAAAATTGTTAAAAACTAATTTAGGAGGAAATAAGTGGAAATTGTGGTTTGGGCAAAGTACTACGGGCTGAGGTGGAGTCTAATGTGCTTGAGGCTCAATAACAAACCGTTTGTTGGTTGGGTGCCTGAGCCTCACGAAGCAAACCGGACTGCTTAAAGTCGGCCTGCATTTTGGGCCCAGCTGGCATGCGCGTGCCTTTGTTTTGGTTTCCAAAATTATGTTGGTTTCGGGAAGAGGAGATTATCGCAAAGTACTGCACAACTGGTCTGAGTAGCTGTGGATTGTTCTTGGTTTCATTGGCATTGTTATGATGAAGATTTATGATCATAACAGAAATGTTTGCCTCTCGGGGACACGTTGTGCATCATGTGGTCCAGAAGACAGAAGAGACGGGGACGATGTGTGAAAAACACTGCAGACCACATTCAGACTGCCATCAGGTGCCTACGACTAGGAAACGTGTGTTTTTTTTTGTTGTTTTGACTCTCTACACAGCACACAGACAGACAGACAGTAGACAGTAGACAGTAGGTCGGCGTTCACTTGCCTGCCTCTTTGCAAACAGCTGCGAGGTCGGCTCCGACGTATCCGTGAGCGCCGTCGGCCAGCTGCGTCACCTCCTCGGCAGTGGCGCTGCACGGCACGAAGCTCAGCTGCTTCTGCAGAATATCTGCTCGCTCTGCAGCACTAGGAACTCCCACCTGCCGTCACAAAACCAATGGAACAAATAAATAATAGAACAGAACGTTTCTTTTACACCAATTGTGGAAAAAAAGTAGGAACCCTAGAAGGAACCTTGAGGAACCCCAAACCATAAACGATGAAGCACTTCAGGGACCTTTGCCGAGATATTTCCAGCAGTGTGATCATTGTCATCAATAATAATAATACAGACAAAATGGTAAATATCTGTCAGCTTCCACTAGTAAACAGGAGGGAGTTGAATTAACACACAGTTACAACGGTGTGTGGTAGAACGCACCTCCAGCTCCTTGTCGAAGCGTCCTGGTCGGCGCAGGGCGGGGTCGAGGGCATGGGGCCGGTTTGTGGCCCCCAGAACCAACAGCTGACCCGAGTGACCCTCCTGGAAGGAGAGAAAAAACAAGGAACACAGATCAGTCTTGTCCTGGTAATCCTGCTTTAATGTCATGTCAGGTTGTGTTTTCCTTGAAACACAGGCATCAAAATCACTTCATAGAAGATGACGTATGAACTTTGTTGGGGTGAGACCACAGTAAAGGGGCATCAGTGCTACAAACTTTATCATCATCTGTATATATTAAAAAATGTCAGGTACATCTGCCTTCTTTTAATGCACCTCATGGTATTTGCTCGATTCCACCGAGCTCAAAGAGAAGAACAACCAATCAAAGGCGAGGATTCTGTTACTGCCTATTTCTCACCTTAAATGTGTTCATAAACATATTTTAGTGGACAGTAATATGAGACAGTATGCTGCGGCAGGAGGCCGGGTCACAACCCTTCTCATTGGACATAGAATCTTGATCCATGTTTGATCAGCGCTGCCTAGTTTGAGCAGTGACTGACAGCTGCGTTAGGGGCTCCTCGGCTCCGATTGGTCCGTTTTCCTTCGGGCACGGTAGAATCTTGCAAATGTCTTTAGGAGAACTAAAAAGAGGCAGAGGAACCTTATTATTGCTCCACACATTATTATTTAAGCTGAGCTGTGGTGACTATAGGGCTGCTTTACCATTGCCATCAAAAGTGATACAACAACAGAAGATGGATGCGGACTGGTACATTTGAAACTACCACTGCCAAATCTGCAGTGCTGGCTAAGATACACACCAGGAATTACATGCAAATGGTTTCTAGGAGCAAAGTAAAACAGCCTGGTGTTCAACTTCATGTCAGTTTTCACGAGCGGGAGCCTCCGAGAGAACATTTGACCGCGGTCTGATGCTAAACTTGTGTTTATCTCAAGGTGGTCTGCCTGCAAGATGAGAATTCTTTTTTTGTTTCTTTTCCACATTTCAATACCGCAGGGAGAATCGAAACACAAATAAATTACAGTGCGAGCAAGAATGCTGAGGAGCAGGAAGCTCTTTATCCACACGCCACGAACCAATCAGAGCGGAGGACCTTGGATCTGGTGTGGAAAACGGACGGGGGCGGAGGTGCATCTGTGTAACATCACCAGTCCAAATGACGGCTGCTCTCGGCCCGCGCTCATGGAGATGTACTTTGTGCTGATAAAGTTATGCCAAATTGGCAGGTCATGGCAACCTTTGGTGATTTGTTTCCCAGGCCCCCACTGGGTGGTTCTGTGTGTGTGTGTGTGTGTGTGTGTGTGTGGGGAGGGAAATCATCTTTTTTCTCATCAGGCCCTGACAGAGACGCTCGGAGGACAAACAACACCCCAGAGACACAAGCCACAGTGTCTGAAGGGCGTCCAGCGCGCAGAGATGCTTTCTGCATGACAGTCTGCGTTTGCGATGAGGACATTTCCCGACGGAGCCTCGTCCTGCTGCAGAGAGCCGTCTCCTTAAGTCACGGCTGCGATGAACGGCCGTCGGTGAATGTTAAGCAGACCTCCTCGTAATAACCATACTGAGGGCTGATGGAATAAGTAGAGGGCTGTACAGTTCATGTCGTAAGCGCGGGCCAAGCAATGAAAAGAGGACACAGGAAGAAGCGGCTTTCATCAGCCAGTTTAGAACTTTAATGTCGAGCAGAACCGACTGATTGAAACTCCGGGTCATTTGCCTGGTTAATACATTTTGTTTGGGCTGGTGTGACGGCTGTCAATCGAACCCTGGTGAGGACCAAACAACCGAAGCCAGATCACCTGTAAAGCTCGGTCTCGCTCCGATTCTTAGCGGACGCTGGTGCGGTTTGTTGGTGTGAAAGCGAACCAACCAACCAGAGGATTTTATGACAGCAGATATGTGGCTTCAGCATGATTTCCAAAGCTAAACTAATCACATATCATTAACTGAAATGTGGATTAAGAGTGAAGTTATTATTTTCAAAGAATCCCAGGAGTGCAGCTCCACTTGGAACAGTAGAACGGAAGAAAACTTAGATTTGAACCTCATGATCAACACCTGTTGGGACGTATGATGGTTGAAAAGGTGAGAAGGACACTTACTGAACCGATCCCGTCCATCAGAGTCAGGAGAGAAGCAACGACTCGTTTCTCCACCTCGTTCTGCGCTCCCTCTCGCTTCGGGCACAAAGCATCCAGCTCATCGATGAAGATTATCGCAGGCTGTCTGCAAATAAAACGAGAATGTTAGAAATTGTGTTTATAACATTCTGTTCTGTTAAATGTGCTTGAAGCACTTTAATCCTTTACTTATTATCGGCGTGCTGCCATGTTTATACTGATAATATGACGGTTTCATGTGTACTCTCTCAGATTTTTATTGCACAAGAGAAGCAAATATAATTCAACAGATTGCAAAAAATGACATAAAACGACAGAGGCCAACTGAAACAGAAAGACGTTCTGTGATCTGCGTGAACAGAAAACGTACTGGGATTGTTACTCCAGGGCGTGATCAGCTGGATGGACTACAACGTTTACCTCTGAGACGCTTCACTGAATATCTGCCTCAGCCTCGCTTCGGTTTCACCGTAGAATCTGCAAAAACAGAAAACAAAATATTTACTGAAGTGAATTACTACTATACTAGTGAGGTATGACTTCAGATGACATGCAGGGCGGCGTGCATTATTCTACTAATCACACGTAATAACACCCTCCTTATACATCATACTGGGACAGAGAGGTGATGCAAAGCCTTTGAGCCATGTGACCGTACTTGCTCATGATCTCTGGGCCGTTGATCACCGTCATGTGAGCTCCGACCTCATTGGCTATGGCTCGTCCAATCATAGTCTTCCCGGTGCCGGGGGGGCCGTACAGAAGCACTCCTCTGGGCGGTGGGATCCCTGCAGAGATAACAGCTCGCAGTGAGACCGTTGCTTTCTTTTAATGATGAATTAAAGTTTACACCTTGCGCCGTGTGACCTACCGTAGGTAGAGAACAACTCGGGGTGTTTCAGAGGAAGCTCAATGGTCTCTCTGATGACGTCCAACTGGCTGCTGAGCCCCCCGATCATGCTGTATTTAACCTTAGACCTTTCAGCTTGTGCATCCGGATCCTCCTGCCCTGCTCTGTGTCCGACACGGACTTTAGTGGAGCAGGACAGGCGGTAGAAGGTGTCAGTACTCAGTGCACCACCAGGGGGAGCTGTGGGGAGTTTCTCTGCCTGCTCTGAGCTGAGTGAGCTCTCCAGGCCGACGGCCTCCTCTGCTGACGCTGCAGGAGGACTCTGGGAGGACGGCGTGCGAGGAGCAAGGGGCGAGGAGACAAAAGTGAGGTGCGCCGGTCGGCGCGGGGTGCTGGCCGCGGGGCCCGGCTCTCCAGGCGGGCTCGCTGCCCCGTCAGCGCTGTTGTTGTCATCCACAGTGAGCAGGCTGAGCTGCAGGGAGAGGTCGGCTGAGGTGGAGTCCAGCACGGAGTTCATCACGGAGGACTCCTCCAGGTCTGGGGCAGGAGCTGGTCTGTGGAGGGTGACTCCGTCCTCCCCTCTTATGGACTCCACCCGCAGACTGCATGACCGGCCGAAGTAGGTCAGGGAGATGAGGTTTCCTGGCAAAATGACGTTCCCAACTGGCACAAGACGCAGACAAAACAGTAGAGTTATCCCACCAAAGGAAACGCATCACTCACTCTGGACTAAAATGGAAGATAAACAGACATTCAAAACCAGGAAACGGTATTCTTTTTGCCAAATGGCGTAAATGAACTGTTCTTGTATGAATGAACCTTCCATCTATGTGTGATGGATAAAACAGGACCTCACAGGAACAGTACAATACCAACCAAAACACCAGTGTATTTGTTCAGAAAATGACAATAATAAAAAAGATTTATGTGCACAAATGTATGCAAGAAGAATATCTAGATGCTTTGAGCCAATGCAACAGTGAGAAGAAGTGACCCACTTACCCAGAGACCGCAGCAGGAAGCTCTTGAACTCATCCGTCTCCAGTGTGTCATCTTTTGACCTGAATCAAAGTCACATGTATGTGAAGAATTAACTATAATCATCATGTACATTGATATGCAACGTACAATTTAATCAACCCGACTGACATTAAAATATATTTTACAGGAGCAGCATCACACCAAACACAGCTTATAAAACATTAAAATAAGTGTAGAATGATCAACAATCACAGAACCCATCAAATCAAAAAGATGATATAAGATGCGACATGAAAACAGATTTACATAGATAAAGATTATAACACATAGATGCATGATGTAGATAAATAAATTCTAGACAATACTATTTGATAGTTTGGCATTTGAACTGCAGTCGCGAGGTGTAGCCAGCAGATGGCAGCAGTTACCTGAGATACACAACATAAAGGTGTTCATGCCTTAAAGACGATCTGGAGGCTTTTTCAGCCGACAGTCGAATCATTTTACATTTTTACATAATCACATAACTACATATGCATATTAGGTCTACAGGCGGTGATAAAAAGGGGCGGAAATATATAAGAAAAAACTCTCAGAACAAGAAAATAAAGGTCAACAGCACCACAAACTACAGCCTCCAAAATACATTACATCTCTTTAAAAAGGTTTCACCACAAACTGAACATTATAACCGTTATGATCTACATCACAATCATTCATTTCAGCAAGGTTTACCTAATAAACAAGCAACTATAATGTAATAGAGTAAAAAGAAGTATAGCGTGAATGTGATACTTTAATATAGTGCCAATGAGAGTGAGACGGTACCTGTTTGAGAGAAGCACCTCCTCGGCCTGGAGCACAGGACCCGTCAGTGGGTGCAGCATCACCTTGTCCCCAGACTTCACTCTCAGGTTATTCTGAGCACATTTCTGAAGACCCACTCGTCCACCAGGGAAGGAGGCAACCGGCCAACCGGAACACACCTGGACGACACCGGGAAACAGATTATTAAAAAAGGTTTCAGAGCAGGAAGGTAGCGTCCTGAGAACAGAAACGATTCATCAACTAAAGGTTAGACGGACGGTAACAGAGAACAGCTTTACACATTTAATATGTTAATCTGTGGAGATTTAAAATAACAACACAACGGATTACAAATGATCTGCTGTAGAAGCTGAGGAGAGAAAAGAAGAGGAGACCTCTTGTCGTCCCGTGGGACTCGTCAGCAGGACCGGCCTCCCGATGCAAACGCTGGCTGACTTCATTGAGTTGAGGCCCAGCTGGACCAACGCTGATCTGCAACTTTTAGGTGTTTTGTCGTCAGCTGTGAGGGAAGTTAACAAAAATATGATGTGAATCAAAATAAAGCACACAGTGCTCTTTCTGTGCAAAAATTCATTTTAAAATGCAGCGTTAGTTTCCTTGCTGATATATATATATATATATATATATATATATATATATATATATATATATATATGTATGTGTGTGTGTGTGTGTGTGTGTGTGTCAAAAAGATGGAATTTCCTCTTAAACAGATTTTAACTTTGGAAGATAAACATGAATTCTGTGTCAATAAAAATGGATGAACACCATCAAGAATCCTGTAAACTGAAAGCCACGTTTGCCTCAGTCAGCGACTCATTTTAAATATGCTTAATAAGTAGAGAGACTAAACGATGAAACACGTCTCAGTGGTGAGTTGTAACAGCATCACTGAGTGTAGCTGGTGTCATGGCGGATCGTCCATCTTCACCACTGCAGATTGGTCCATTTGCTGATCACTTTTAGATTCCCTACAACTGTGTCAAAGCCTGTTAAACGTTCGTGTTTATGACCACAAAGACTCACCTTTGTCAATGAAATCGATGACAGTGAATGAGTTGCTGTTTACACTTCTGCACCTTCCTCCCTCGTGGCCAGGTGTCTGCAGGCTGGAGGGGTCATCTGAGCTCTCCTTCGACAGCAGTGAACCGTCTCCTTCACTCGCTCTTTTCGATTTGCTTTTACTCTTCTTTGAAGACATTTTAATAGTGAAGATCTCCTCCACGTGAACGCGCAGACATGTGTAAACATGGAGCGGTGCTGTACACTTCCTGGTTAAGGTTTAGTCCCGCCCCCTTTTACCGTAAAGCCTCGCTTATTTTACGGCAGGTTGTGCCCTTTTTGTATTTGTTGCATTTTAAAACATTCCTGTTTTACTTCAATTAAATTGGAAACAAAAAATACGACAAACAGTTGAAATAAGGTTGGTTTTAATTTTTGAAAATTAACTATAAGAGCCTGAAAAAAAATAATTTCCAAAATACGATAGAAAAACATTTTAAGTATATTTGTTACCAGCGAGTAGAAACATATATTTAAATATAATTAAAGGTATTAGCAAACATTAATTGGATGCAGTCTAAGATTTGGCATGAATAAAATATGTCAATCGGTGTTTTTTCATAGTTTTTAACAGTTAGTTTGGACTTCTTGCTCGCTTCTGTGAGCCAGATGACGTCTTGCAGTAAGTGTCATTTTACCAGAGCATTACGGTATTTATGCAACCTCCAGGGCGGATGTTTACGTAACCGTACTGTTCTCACGTTGCCGGCCGGTTGAAAATTGAACAACCAGTTATAGCTAAAGTTGCCTTTAAGCGGCTCCGTGTAAATATATATAGTAACATGGCTGCTTGTGCCTTCGCTTTAAAGCTGTTGCCGCTGGTGGGAGGAAGGTTTTGCTGCAGAGCGTCATGTCCCGCACGCTCACCTGTGCGTGCGTTCTCGTGCGCCGCAGCTCGTTCTCAACTACAGAAAGTAACGGGGACCGGGGCTCTGACGGGCAAAGGGGACCGCTTTGGTGGAGTGACGGTGAACCTGGCTGACATCGGGTTACCGGTGGACATCAGCGAGAGCTCGTTCAGCGGATTGCTGCAAGGTTGGTGGCGTCACAGTGTGATATGATTCATGCACATGTCAGGTCTTCTCAATACACAACCACACACTAGAACAGGGGGCTTTGAGGTGTGTGTGTGTGCACGAGGGACAGCGGTCAGCTGTTACACGTGCACTGAAGAAGATGCAGATGCCCGCAGGGTAAAATGTCCCTTAATATCTAAAGTAGCCAGGTTTCAGTGGGTCTGCAGGTGAATGTGTGACACTTTGCTAAATACATAGACTGCACTCTATATAGTTGTTGGTTCAGGGGTTTGGATTTCATTATAGATTGCATCCATAATGCATTAATTCCTTTTTTACCAGTGAAGGTAAACAAGAGAGCAACCCCATGAAGGAAAATGAAACATGCAGGGTCTTGTTCAAAAGGTAAAATGATTAAAGTGAGAGATTTTTGAATTTATAATATCAGAAACTAACTTTCTTTTCAATATTGAGTAATAATAAAAATAATTTTCATAATGGTTTAATTATTCAGTAATAAACTGTCAAAAGTGAAAACACTCATCACAAGATAGTCTTTAAACTGCAAGTTTTCTATTGCTTAAAAGTCCAAAACCTAAAAGATATTTGATTTATGATTGGTTGATTATTCAAATTATTGCAAATATATTTTCTATTTATCGATAGTTTGACAGATTAAGAGTTTAACTGTTTCAGAACTACATCATTTCTATCTGCATTCTTCCAATCACTCTGGGATTTGAACCAGCAACCTTCTGTTTTAAAAAGATCTGCTTCCTAAACCCTTCAGGCTACTTCCACTAAACTGTCTCTGCTGCTTGTCATCTGTCTCTCTTCTTTACGTTTGCCGCCCAAATCATATTAAGCATCAAAACAAAACAATCTACTCTTTCCTGTCTGTTTCTGCAGTTTATTTAATAAAGCAGCAGCAGCATCATCAATAATACATATTTTTAAAGTTTGTCCATCCCGGTGAACCTTTGACTCGTGTCCTCCGTAGAGTCGCTGGCCCAGTGGAAAGCCGAGGGGAAAGTCGCAGTGTGGCTCCGGGTGCCCATCTCTCTGAGCCGATGTGCTGCCGCCGCCTCCACTCACGGCTTCGCCTTCCACCACGCCAAACACGACCACGCCGTGTTGGCCCTCTGGTTGGGAGACGGGGAGAGCCGGCTGCCGGGGTTTGCGACTCACCAGATCGGAGTGGCAGGTACAGATTTCTTAGCCTGAGGGGTCATTCTTGCCTTATAATATTATTACCTAAAAAGGTCCACTATCTAGCTTTTTACAGAGCTTTCAACTACAGCAGATGGTGTTTGTCATGGATCTGATGACGACCATGAAATGCAGCTGAACGCTCTGGAAAAGAGACATGAATTTAAGTTAAGATCATCATTTATTTACAGTACTTGTCAACAACCCTGTTGCCTTTTTGTTCCTTTGAGCACTCGTGCTATAAATACATATAATCACAATCTTTAGGTAATTCTTTATTGTCCATATCCTCCAGAGATCTTCTTCAAGATGACAGCAGGAGGTTCACTCGATTAGCCTTAATGCTGAACGCTTGTGTCAATCAGTTGAACTTCTTCTGGCTGAACATCAAGGGAAGTGTAGTCCTTGGTATGATGGACTACAAATTAATTAAAGACACAGCTTCTATAGAGACGGGCGAGAAACACCAAACAGCACATATGATATAAAATATATACAACATGGAATACGAAACAATAGATAAAGCGCGATGTAAACAATAGTCTTCAGCCATCATCAAACAGAGAGCACATAGAATCTTTTATAGTTTTATTTATTGAAAAAAACCTCAAAATCCTCTCGAAGAACCAGTGGTTGCAAATGTTCCTCAGTTGGTCCAAAACAGCTCCATGTGTCACAATATTCAGTCAACCATCAAAGAACAATAGAGCTGAAGCTTTAAGCAGATTAATCGGTTTCTTTATTGACATAAAATGTATCGCCAATAATGACAATAACCGTAAAAATCTCTCAATTCACTGTTCACAAGATATGGAGGCGTGATTTAAAATGATGAATCCAGTCTTTTGCTACTTTAAAGTCATTTATAAGTAGCTGTGATCAAATATATTTAAGGCCGGGGGCCTGTTTGTCTATTATGCATTTTTCAACTTTGGCCCATTTCTGTTGTGTAAATACAAATTCACTCATTGAGATTTTGTGTGTGCTACGTTTCTGATCGTCCAGCAGAGGGCAGAGTGTCGTCTTTTACCTTTTTAACAGTGGATGAACATGAAGCATGTCAGAACATGTCCAGAGCATCCTTCAGTATGGAAGGGGTCCAGTAATTCCCCTTTTTTTGTTGCCAGAATGCCCCGGTACAAACACTGATGACACTGAGGTTAGGAATCTGAAATACAGAGCTGTTTACATGATCTGATACTTGTTTGCTCGGGTGCACGCAGCTTTATATTACACAAGAGAATAGCACGTAATGTACAGTCAGTCAATGAAAGAGAAGTTATATGTGCCCCAGCAGGCTTTCAAACTGTCCAACCGTAAACCCAAAAGTCAAACGTGGGTATAGTGAGGTCAAAATGACCATTCTTCATCCAGAGAACGTGGGCTCAACCCCCACACACACACACAGATGTCAACATCTGACCTGCTGAAAAATGGAGCTGGAATCCAACCAGCTGCACCTAACCTCTGACCTCTCAGGACAGGGTCAACAACTTAAAGTTCAATGTAATTCCAAGAGATGACAGCCTACATGTTCATGAACGCTGTAATTAGTTATATCGTGATACTATGGATGGTATTCTGAGAACAAGTCTGTTCTGCAGATTAGTCCCAAACGGTCGATCAATGCTAACGCCAGCAGTGACGTGTTTCACCATTTAGTCTGCAGCTCAACAGAACATGTTGAAGTGAGCGGTACCTCTTTAAGGTCCCGCGTCAGCCCAACTGAAGGTTGAGTAAGCTGCCCTTTAACGAGAAATAAAGGAAATGCTTTTTGGCTCATATGTAATGAATTAGCATCATTAACGTGAATCACGAGGATCGTTTCATCACCTGGTGAAACGAAACTGAAACGGTAATAATTGCATTTTGGACAGTGTTCACTCTTTTCAATGCCTTCAGCCCGTCTTACAGTACAGCATGAGTAAAAACTCGTAGAACAAGACTGAATCCTGAACAAATACTACTGTTTTCATGGAAACCTCAGCAACCAAATCAAGATCTTGGACATAAAAAACTAGGATAATTAGTATTCTGTAATGAAATCCATCACAAGTGATGTAGAGCAACTCTCAATCAGCATTGTGACCTCGTTGTGACCTCATGGTGCTCTCCAGATGTTGCTGTGATCCTATAATTACTGCCTACATGAAATATGGATGAAGAGAAGACATCAAACTTTGTTGTGGCTCAGAAACCAGCCGTGACCTCAAGCGATTAACAGGGTTTTTGTTTTTTTTACTACAGAACCCACGTATCCCCTGTGATGATTGCTTCTGGGCTTTTTGTCTCATAATTCATATTTCTCCTTGTGAGCATTTGGTTTCCTCCACTGAAGGCTACATAATGATAGCCTCCGTTAGCAGCAGCCAGACCTCCTCCCATGCAGCGCCGTGGATCGGTGGATGACATCAGTTTCCACTTGGAAGTCCAAGTCGGGCCTTTTAAGACGACCCATCCCTCTTTTACACATCTGTGACATTCATTTAAGGAGGCCCGTCCCGGGCGGGCAGACGGAGCAACCGGAAAAGAAAGTGGCTCGTTTTCCCTCCTCCTCCTCCTCTGGAGCTGTCAGCAGCACATAGCTGCCTCTCTTAGTCACTACCTGCTGAAAAAAATATGTAAATGGTGAAGTGGGATTTGAAGCATATTAAGGCCGTATAGTACTTAAAACTGTACAGCTCTTAGGCTGGCCCTTTTGTTTGGTTCTTCTTTGGTATAGCAGTTTGAGAAGTGGAATCAACTTGAATCTTTTTAAATGAAGAGCAACAAGCCCATGTTATTGTTATTTATTCCACTGTTTTGTCCGTGGACTTTATTGATCGTCTACATCAGCAACGTGTTAAAAAAATCTAAAATGAACAAAGCAGCTCCCGCTGGCCGGACAGAGATCCAGCTCCGGGCTTCTTCCTCCGCATGGTGAAGGGTTAATGTGTCCAACCTCATAATTAACTTTGAACTAGACTGCCAACAGGTGTTATTACAGTAACTACTTCAGTGCACTGGGGACATACGTGCTTGCAAAATATATGAAAAAAAAATGTCTGATTTATTGATTTCTTTTGCAGGTGCAGTCGTTGATGAATCGA